ATATATATTTGTTTTTGTTTTATTGAATTTAAACCTGTCTCTTATACACATCTTTTTAAATTTTAAAATTTAAAATCTCAAACATCCAATTGAAAGTTAAAAAAAGTAAAAAATAAAAATAAATACAAATAATTAGAATTAATATCCGGGTTGCAGATAATGTATTAAAAAAATTGAATTATTTTTGTATATAATTGATTTTTTTTGTAATCTCGAAATCATTCACTAAAAATAATTTTAATATTTCTAATCCCAAGTACCAAATTGAAAGTTAAAAATCAATTTTTTTTATCATCTACGGAATTGGAAAACAAGAAAAATGATCCCATTTCTAACTAAAGTTGAAAAAAATAATAATAATATTAATTTTGACCCTTGCGTACTTCGTGTTATACCAGGTTCAGCTAGAACTCTACAGAAACATTATCAACACAAAATTTTAATTTAAAATTTAAGCTCTAATTTTTATTAAAAAATTGTTTAATTAATTCTCAAATCGGATTAGTATACACTTGGAGACTTTTCTCTTTTTTCTCATAAAAAGTTGATATTTTTGTTTTTAAAATAAGCTTATTATGAGAAAATTTTCCAGTAATTTTTCTCTGGCTTTCCAAATAAATATATATACCAACAACAATCTGCACAAAAATATCTTCACCAGCTTTTTTAAACTTTTTTACCTAATCCATATACATATGTATCAATACTAACTACTACTATTGAAATTATAACTGTATGATTGCTTGCTTTGTCTACACATACTCTCTAATTTGGTTAGTTGGGTGTTTAATCAAAACTTGTCGTTTAAAGGTCAAGTTAAAAGCATATAGACAACAGTGTGTTTACATATTTTCTATAACTTTTACATACATATGCATGCATATATTAGTTTGTGTATACATGCAAACATATAAGGTATTTATTACAATACATAGATACTTCCCCGATTTGAATAATTACAGTTTCTAGTATTTCAAAGCGATTAATAAACAGTAAGTAAATTAATTTAGGCTTTGGGTATGTTTGACTTGGTACAGTTTAAATTCAATAAAACAAAAACAAATATATATATATATATATATATAAATAAATAAAAACTCACCAAAATATTGCAGCTGGCGCAAAGGTGATTGATTGTTAAGATGACACTGAAATAAAATGAGAATTTATGAGTTTATAAAACTATGATTTTATAAATAAATAAAGATATGTTGTTTTTTAAAGTCAATGCTTCTTTCTTTATTGTTTAATTGATATCAAAAATTATTTTGGATCAGAAGATTAGGCTACTGATGCAATAATAATTTGTTTACTGCTTATAATATACATTAACCTACTATCTGGGAATAAAAGCAGTCTTATATTATTTCTGAGCAGTGCGGATTTAAGGATATATTTGAGCAATTTTGTGTGCTTTTTTGATAAAAAAAGCTACACATTTGTTGGAACTACCAATATAGGGTCACTGTATCGTAATCCTGCCTTACAAACAAATCAAGTTAATAAAGTTTTTGTATGGAAACTGCACGAAACTTAGTATAGATTATTGATCAAAGGTACAAAACTCGTTATTCTACAAGAAATGCATCTGTAAAGAGTATAAAGGCTTTCCTTTGTTTTTTTTCCTTTTGTTCTGTAATATTTTTATTAAATGAAATTTTAAAAAGTATAGATCACCAAACAATTTTCTGTGTGTCAGAATACTATTTCTCTGCGACTTTCTTTTCAATCAGAAATTTTTCGCTTTTCCATAAAGAAAAATATAGAGTGTAAATCAATGAAATCTAAAAAAGGTAGCGAGGCCTTGACTATTTCTTACGCCATTTTTATTTTTGTTTTTAATTCTACTTTAACGGTATTTTTTAAAATACCAAAGTCATTAATAAGTTTTATTTAATTATTTTTTTTATTCTACTTTAACGATACTTGATCTTTAGAATTTGCTATGATATAAGTGATTAAAAAATGTCGATGTATGTATGCTTATATATTGTTCCACACATTGAAAATAGCTTACAAATGTGATTTAATTTTATTTATTATATTCATTTTCTACTTTCAAAATACCCAAAATTGCAAACGCATCCATTCAGTAAACAAATATGACTGAAAAATGTTCGTTAAAAATATTAAGTATTATAAATATAATAAATAAACAATTTATAGGTATTTAACAAGTAACCGCTTGAACTACATACATATGTGTGTATGTATGTACATATGTACATATATGCAAAATGTGTACTTATATTACTTAGTACCGTTCATCGCATACTATAAAATCAATTAAAAAATCAAAGGTTCAAAATATCAAAAAATTAAAATATATTAATTTGCTACAACAGCAAAATAGAAACCGCTATTTGTATGCCAATACACTCGAGCCCGTTTACGTCAACAGGCGCCAAGTGGAAATAAATCTCAAAAGCAATTTTTTCTCAGCGCAGATGCTCAACTCGCAAGCAAATGAAATATTATATTTTTTATATCTATTGCTTTTTAATTCCACTAAAGTGGCAATACATAAAAAACAACAACTTCTATATAATGAAAAGTGCTGCGCATTTTTTCACTAATTAATTTTAGTCTCCCTACCACCTCTCGCCTTGTTTAGGTATCATTACACATGTGCATACATACGTATGTAGATACCACAACAACAAACCTACGTCAGTAAGTGCATTTTGAATTGTAGTATAAGATTGCGTAGGACAGTTAGAAACATTTTTTAGTTAAAAATACATATATTGGAAGAAAGCAAAATATAGTCTGCGGTTTGTTTTTTGCATGCAATAAATAAAAAGCGGAAATTTTATTTTTTGTAAAAAAAAGTATATTTGAAAAAGTATTTTTGAATAAAGAACAAGCAGCACGGGACTTAAAAAGAGTGGGTGCAATGACGTGCCTTTCTTCGCTTTTCAAAGCGCAAACACAACTACGTAGGTATGTACATATGTATGTATACAAATACCATTTTTTGTTGTATGTATGTATGTATGCATGACTTTAAAATCGTAAATATTGCAAAGTATGTACTGATGTATGTAAACGTGTACATAAATAAACGTGCGTCATAGAAATTGACCACGTGAGTAGCTTACTCGGCATGTTTAATGAAATATTGACGCATCGATGTATAATATAGAATTTTTCGGAAAATATTTTAAAAATTTTCCATTGTTAGCGCTGTTTAATTATACAAGAAAAGTTTTAGTAATGAAACACAAAATATAATATATTTAAGAAATTTTTAATTACTTTGATAATAATATTTAACTATGAAAGTATTTACCAAAAAAATTGCCCCCTCCTCTCTTAAATATGACTTGGTTTCCCATCAAAAATTTGAAAAATGAGGATAACCAAACAAATTTTTTTTTTTTTTTGTCAAAATACTACATAGTATCTCCCTGCGCCTCTCTTAAACACGACATGCTTTTGAATAAAATTTTTTTCGCTTTTCAATAAAAAAAAAATAAAAATGAAAAAATTATGACGAAATAATTAAACATTCTGTGTTTTTCATTACTTTTTTATCTGACTCATAAGTACGTGATAGAAATGCGCGATGATAACAAAATAATGGAAATATGTAAATATACATTATTATATATCTATACATATATACTCATATGTACATACATATGTATATAATCTATATAAACAAGCATTTTGCGAGCGCACAAGCGATTAGCTATTCGGTACTTTTCCCTACAAAATTCCCATTACCGCGCCCATTGCATGCTCTTCGTTGACCCGCTTGCATATTAAGTGCAGCCGAAGAAGCAGAATGCAAGCGGCAGCAGCGAACGAGCCCACTTTCTGTTGGCGCGCAGATGAAGCAACGTCACACGATAAGGCTGCAACAACTGCAAAAAATTGAAAGGAAGAAGCAGAATATGGTCAATAGTATATAGTATGAGTCTAAATGCAAGCAAGAGATACAATATACATATGTATGTATATAATTATTCACATATGTATGTATTTCTACAAGCAGGCCTCAAGTCATACATACATAGTTATATACATATATATGTGTGAATGTAAATAAGAAATAGCGGCAAAATCAGAGTCCACTGTGAATTTCAGCTCCAAATTTGCAGAGCCAGCTACAAGCGCATTGATAAAGTGCATGATTAAAAGCAAAAAAAAAACCACAAATACATATAAATAATAGTATACAGATATATACACACAAGCATATACTACATACGAAGGAATATACTCAGACCAAAGTCCGTTGAAGTAGGCACGTTTAACCTCAAAAACGAAAAAATCAATTATTTCACATATTTAACACAGATGCTTTTACGCTTGTACTCATACACATACATATACATATGTTTATTTATATAAGTATGTAGATTACAAAAATTGTGTATGTATAGCACAAAAAGTCACCTAGCCAACAAAATGAGTACATTCATACAAAGAGTTTACATACATACATATGTATGTACATCCAAGCGCACATTTTCGCACGTAAATACACATGCAAGGGCGCACACTCGTGCAAACGACGTCAGACCAACCTCCAG